ACTATTATCGTGCACCGCCTTCATCCGCTCCATCATTACGCCAGCCTGACGGATAGCCTCCGCGGCGGCATCCGACTGACTTTCCGGAACATGATAGGTGGTGAAGAAGGGGACAGACGGTCCAGACACAGCAGCTTGGGGCTCCAAGGCATGAGGTTGGATGGCTGAAGAAAACACCGGTACAGTCGACGGTGCGGGGTGATCACTCGACACTGGGACAACAAAGGTTACAGAGGCTCTACTTGCATCTTCGGGCCGTTGGACTGTTGGTTCTGTTGCCGGTTCCGACCGAGATATCCTGCCAGCTGTTGTTTTCTTGCTCTTCCTGGGCCTCAGCGGCACGTCCTCGTCATCATCCGGAAGCTCAATGACATTGGGAGGGGCTGCAAAAAAGTCATCCGAATCCAGATGAGTCACCAGAAGTTAATCGACCATACAATCGAGAACGAGATCACGAGGTTTATACCTAGGTTGGAGGTGACCGCATCTTCCATGTCCTCATCTTCATACTGGCGAGTGGAAGTCCCAAAGGTAGCGGCACTACAAATTTCAGAGTTCAGTCGGTCATGTCTAATGAAATGAATCGACTCAAATCCAGATTCATACTAAAGCAAGAAATCAAGTCCAACTAATACCCGGAAGTAATGGGGATGGCCACTTTGATCTTCGGCAAGGCCTTTGGCGGTTTGGACGGCATAGCTTTCGGTTGCTTCGACGCCTTTTCAGTCGATGCTGGAGAAGACGTTCGAGGGCGCTTCGATGACTGCCCAGTCTGCGCGGTCGCCTTGCCGCTGGCACTTGCTAGATCGTGAGAAAGCTTGGATCGTTTTTCCCTACGAGGAGGAGAATCGACCTCTTCTTCATCACTCAGGTCGTCGCTCTCCTCATCCTCCTCGTCGTCAGAGCGCCACTCGCCGCTCTCACCTCCACTCGCTTCTCCCTCTAGGTCCTGCTCCTGATCCCTGTTGGGCATCGAGTACATCTCAGTCAGGGCCTAGAAGACAACAAACAAGACAAGAGACATTCTGGTGACAGCAGACAACAACTTGATAAATCAAGAAAGCACTCAACTATGTGGAGTCATACCTTGTCAGTCTCGTATGAGTTGTTGAGTGGAGGAATCCTCTGGGATCCCCTGGGGTTGTCTTTGTTGCTAGTGATACTCTTCAGCCACCCTTCCAGCGTAGCATCATCGACCTCCTCTGGATGGATCCGAGTGGTGTCGTCGATGCCCGAATACATCCACATCGGATGGTCATGGGCTTGAAGTGATTGGATGCGTCGCCTGAGGAAAACCTCCAACAGATCCATACCGGTTACCCCATCACGAACAAGTTGAACTACTCGCTCGACCAGCACCTTCACTTGCACCTTCTCCTCTAGGATCACTTTCAAAGCAGAGGGCTTCTCCACTCGGGCCATGGAAAAGGGGGAAGTCCAGTCGACTGACCTGGAGTCGGCTGGTCCTTGCAGTAGAACTAGGTCGACTGCCACCCTCGAACCGATTCGGGAAGGATCATGGCTGGGAAAGTACTCTTACTCCTCATTTGGATCCCAAGACCCCCGCACATCTGAATCACTTGCGTTCTCTCGTCACTCGGGTTGGCCTTCTTGACCGACTGAGAACGACAGGTGAATATGTGCTTGAAGAGCCCCCAGTGTGGCCTACAGCCCAGGAAGCTCTCGCACATGGACACAAAAGCAGCAAGATACACGATGGTGTTCGGGGTGAGGTGGTGGAGTTGCGCCCCGAAGAAGTTCAAGAAACCTCGAAAGAAAGGGTGGGTAGGCAAGGAAAACCCGCGGTCGACGTGAGTAGCGAGGAGGACGCGCTCACCCTCCTGTGGCTGCGGCTCGGTCTCGTTCCCCGGGAGTCGCGCCGATTCATGGGGAATCAATCCCCCCTCGACCATGTCGTCGATGTCGTCCTGGCGGATCATCGAGCGAATCTAGTCGCCCTGGATCCATCCCGGTAGCAAGCCGACCCTCGAAGAAGATCCACCCCGGCCGGACTTCTTCCCCTTCGCCTTCGCCGTCGCCTTCTTCGCACGCTCCAACGCCACCATCTTCTCCTTCCCCATGACAGCAGATCGAGTTCGAACGGAGCAACGACGCCGAGAACGGAGGCAGCTGCGGTGGAGAAAACAGAGGAGGAAGGGGAAGAATGGGAACGCACTGTGCGAAAACCCCCGCCCGATGCCTTATATGAAGTCATTTCCGAGTGGCTGACTCGTGGGCCCAAGCGATCCGATCAAATCCCGCAACAGTCACGCACGCGATACGTGGTGAAAAAGGTGGCGCGGTGACCAAGGCGGCCTTCCTAATCCGTCCGGTTACTGTGGCCTCCTCCGCCTGGCGCGCTTCCCACAATTCGAATCCCGCGAAATCCGCAGACAGCAGAACAACCCGTCAGACGGAGGATTTTTTTCCACATCGACACTCGAAGCTTAACAATGAAAGTTCACTTGACAAAACCAAGAATGGATCAAGGCGACTGAACAAGCAGTTGAAGTCATCATGGATGTTCATTCGACCTCTTGACAAGACATTTCCGAAGCGCAAAAGCTGAATCGAAGAGGTTATCAACTCCTTCTCCACTCGAACCCTGAACCATTCGGGAGCTAATTATGAAGATATGTACCTAGGGTAGGGTCATAGGCCTGACCTAGACACGTTCCCCTAGGACGTCACCTTAAAACCAGAAGCATTTGAAAAGGAGTCATCATCCACTCGACCATGAGGACTTCCACTCGGAAGATTTGAAGTCACTCGACCACCAGAAGGTCTAAAGTCGCTCCAGACCACAACGGTCGGACATCACCTCATAGCTTTAATGGCCATTATGTCTCTTTATTTACTAGCATTACCAGTAACGCCTCCCTTTTAATGTACCTTAAACCCTTTGTAACGTGGGCTGGCTGGGGTCCTGGCGCACTCTATATAAGCCACTCCCCTCCATAGGCACAAGGGTTCGCATCTTTTGTAAACTCACACACACATATAATCCAGTCGACCGCCTCAGGGCACCGAGACGTAGGGCTGTTACTTCTTCCGAGAAGGGCCTGAACTCGTAAAACTCGTGTGTACAACTGCTCCATAGCTAAGATCTTGCCTCCTCATACCTACCCCCCATTCTACTGTCAGTCTTAGATCCACGACACTTCACCCCACGTGGTTGGCTAACCCTGTTGTGGTGCCCAAGGCCAAGGACAACAAGGGGATATGCATCAACTTCACTGATGTGAACAAGGCTTGGCTGCAACATAAGTCCTAAACCTTAAACCTAAACCATGAAAAATGATCTTGTTAAAACTTGGTAATACGTAATATTCTAACTATCAACTTTTAATATTTGACACTTGGTAAAACTGAAAAAGTTATGAAAAATATATTCTAAATCGACCTTGTTTGAAAATACTCATTGCAACGAACACGAATATGCAAACGAAACTTATTCAGACTTTCGGTTCAAAGGATACAATAAATTCAAATTTGAAGATAAAATGAAAAAAAACATATGAGGTGGGGTGGATGAGGCATGCAACTCTACCAAAACCTGGCATGCATGGACCCCCAATGCGGTACTAAGGATTAGTGGCATAAACTATTTCATCAATCTTAAAGCAAATAGGTGATCGTATGCATGCGTTCCCTGCACCTACCTGCCCGGGAAAATATCAGGTGCTACCAACACTTAGGTGATAACGTGATACGGGCTTCTGGGCCGTTGGATCTCAGATTCGACGGTTCCCGGGAGTCTATTGTACCTACGCGAGATTTTAAGACTTCTGGATGACTTTTTTGCAAAATGCTCAAGAACTCCCGGGAGCCGTCGGATCCCAGAAACCCGTATCATGGTATCACCTAACACATGGTATCACCTGATATCTTCCCCTACCTGCCCCATGAATTTCGTACTGCTCTATGCTTCTTATGATTGTATTTCGTTTTGGTTATTGTAGATAGAATTGCTCAAGATGGGAGTGATTGTCATTATTTGGTCGCTTTGACTATATAAAATAATAAGATTTTTAATGATAAAAGTACTTCTCCGATGCAGGTTATCGACATATGTACTAGGACTCTTCGTTTATGGTCCTCCCTACAACGCGTAGAGAGTCGAGACCTGTTTACGGAGGTGTGTACACAATTGAAGGCTACAATGAGGGATATTTTTACCCAACATAGGTAGCAACATGATCTTAGGATTGCCCCCTACGCTATAGGCGTTATACGGACTCTACATGTCTCTTTGTATTTCGCTATTTTATTTTTTAATTTTTATTTATGTGAGAGGACCTTATTTGACAGTGTGCATCTTAATTGTGCAGAAGCCGGATGTAATGCTTAAATTTTTTAAGTAATATAAAGTACCCTTTTTTTGAAAAAGATGGAACTGCTCAAATTGTTGTCGATATGTCATACAGTGGAATGAGGCGATTGTCCCAAAAGATTTTCCTACACATTTTACCTCGCTGGAGTCCCAAGTTATGCAGTTTTACCTATTGGTTTGAGTGAAGCATTCTCCTCGAATTGGCAGCTCGAGCAATTGTCATCCGGACCATGTTGCCTAACTAGTGGCACTGTTTCCAGGATTGGGCTACCTTTCCATTGCCCGGAGGAGATAAGAACTGTCGTACATAGGACTACTGAAATGCCATTATGAGCTGCCAGCGTAGTTGTTTACATCCAGCAAATTTGGCTATCTTTGAGATTTGTCTGGTGCTTTGATGGAGACCAAAAAGTTTGGCTCGCCCAAAACAAGTAACAATGGACCGAAGTTGTGGCCTTGCAGGTTGCAAACCAAACAGAGGCGTGACACTTTTATCTTCTTCTTTTTTTGCAAACCAAACTTTGAGTCGTCTCACAAACAAGCTGTCAAAACATGACTATTATTGAATTAATAGAGGGTAAACCACAAATATAGTACATATGCTCGTACTTAAGAAAACGAATCACAATTTCACAAATAGTGGGAAACATGAGTGCTACCATCATCCCTAATAATCCTCCTCGGAGGAGCAAACTCTAGCCTTCTTGTAAACCTTCCCTAGCCGGCAGAAGTAGCCCTGCTCCGGTGCGCAGTGTGAGTCGTCGGAGCAGATGCAGAGTCCTTCAATGGCACAACGATTCTCGATGATGTTGGGACTTCCGTTGATACCAAGCACCTGGTCGGTCCACTCACTGGAGAAGAGCCCGTCGGTGTTGTAACTGCTCTTTACCTTAAAGAACTTATCAGCTTTGGGGTACCTTGCGATGGCACCGTCGAAGGCAAAGTTGCGGTTCTTGCCCCAGTGTGGCAGACCGCCATAGTTACCCAACGCCATCTGTTCGATCTCGTCCACCACATCGGCATGGGCGTGCGGCATGCCGTCGGTGCGGCTCCGGTAGAAGAGGATGTCGACATCGATAGAGTCCTCGTGCTTGCCGAGGTACGCGGAGGACCAAGCCCACCCTACCGTCGAGGGCGGCACAGAATGCGTCCGGGTTGAGGTCCCGGAGCTGTAGCATGTCGGCTATGAACGCCGGCGCCTTGGAGAGTGCGACGCTAAAGCCGGAGTTGTACAGGAAAGATCCCCGGATGCGCGGGTCCCAGGCGCAGGAGGAGAGGAGGGCATCCTCTGGGCCGTCGATGCATGAGCCAGACGCCTGGATGCGGTGTTGGTACCCCACAATCGGGTACCCCGTGAAGGAGACTCCATCGTTCGTGAAGCCGAAGGCCGGCAGCTGTCTCGTGAACCCCTCTTGCTCGGCCGCGCACCGGGCGATATCGGTGCCGTTCTCCTGCAGTTGCTCCTCTATGGCTCTTCCGCCCACGAGCAGGGCGGTGGGGACGGAGCGGAAAAGGAACAACTCGCCGAGGCCATTGCCCGGCGTCGAGACGTCGACGCGGTCGTCCTGGCGATAGATGACCTTGTTGTGCTGCGGCTGCCATATCATGTCGGCGAACTCGTGGAGACGGCCCCACTCGGCCACCCGCGCCGTGAAGTCCGACTCGTTGCGCTCCACGAACGTCACCGACCGCTTGAACAGCGGCTGCAGGGCCAGAGTCACCTGGGAGACGACGCCGAGGACCCCAAGGGAGACCTTGGCGGCGTCCAGGTCCGGGTGATCGGCGCCTAGCTCCCTCACCATGGCGAAACCATCGCACGCCGGCGCCGGCGTCACGATCCTCAGACCGACCACGTACTCGTGCACGGCGCCTCCCTTGCCCCACAGCCCGCTCCCGTGCGCGCCCGTCGCGAGGAGCCCGCCGATGGTCAGGCCGTACCAGTACGGCGAGTGCGGCAAGGACAGCCCTGCTGCGGCGGCGGCCTGGATCAGGTCCCGGAGGACCATGCCGCTCTCCACCGTGATGAGCTGCCTCTCGGCGTCGATGGAAACCGTCCGGTTCAGCCGTGTGGTGCTTATGATCGTGCCCTCGCTGCCGCCGGGGCACGCCAGCTTGGGGCCGCTGTGCGAGTGCTTGGTGGCCACCTTCATCTTGCGTTTGGCCGACGCGGCGGCCGCCACGGCCGCGACCAGCTCCTGCTCGGTGCTCGGGTAGACGACGTTGGCCGCGTGGCAGATGGTGCGGTCCGTGAAGGAGCCGTACGTGTTGGTGACCGTGCAGTTGGACGTGCCATCCGTGCAGGTCACCGGGTCCGGTGGAGGGCTGCAGCCGGCGAGCTGGAGCAGGCTCCCTACGAGGAGAACAGCAGCCAAGCTCTTCATTGCTCGTGTTTGTGCTTGCTCTCCTTGCGACATCGCTGACTTCTCGAATGAATGAGTGCCTGCACTACAGCTTGCTTGTATCTACTAGACCTTAGATGTAGACAGGTAGTATATATAAGGTTAAGACACATCGTAGTGCACGAAAATGAAAAAAAATACGACCAGTTGAGTGCACAACTTAAATCCTGCCTCTCCATCAGACATAGAGATCTCCGCTCCTCGTGTGCAACATCCTTGATCGTGTATAGAACGAACGAACAGGTTCCAGCGTGAGTGAAGTCAACAAAATTAACATAGAGATGAGCTTTGCATTTTTTGTAGGAGTGACAAACAACTATGAGTGCAAAACGAAAACACTTTAGTTATACGTAAGTTGGCTGACTTTTAAATTTGTGTAAGTGTGAGTTGATTTTTTGATCATCGATTATTTTGTCAAGATTCATACTTTCTTTGTTGCTTCATGCCTTCTTAGACTGAACTTTTGAACTGCTTCTGTTGGGAGTTAGTCGATTTTCCTATTGGGCTCGAAGCTCGTTATCCTTTTTTTTCTGTTTGTATGTTTTTCTCCCTTTTTAGTTGATTTTTATGAGTATATTTGGGATATTGGGCGAGTGTAAATATATACACGCAAATATTATAAAATGTGTTGTTTGTGAATTATACTGAAGTGCAAATATTGCACTATTATATGCTTAGAGAGTGGTTTTTAACTTCTTGGTGTCCCTACACCCTCATGAAAAGTAAATTCAAAAAATAAAATCATAAAATCTGAAATTTCGTGACATCAAATATGCTCAAACTTTGTGTGTAGACAAAACATTCGAGGAGCTCTATCCAAGAAAAATATTTCACTACTCAAAGTTTTGAGCATTGATTTTTGTTTCCCATGTGTAGAGCTAATCAGATGATATTTCTCGACGAAAATGTGTAATCACCTAAAACGTTTGAGCATGTTTGTTGATGACATGGAAACGGGGCCCTTTGGCCTCCAGAGAAAGTGTTGGCCTGACAGTACCTCCGTTGGACGGGGCTTGTGTCTATAGCAAGGGATAGATACGTCGTTGGGCTTCCCCTCTCAAAGATATTCCGTCGTCTTGGTGCTCGGGTAGATGAGGATCCCGGGCGACCCAAAAAAGCATGGTGCTCGGGGCCCGTGGGTGACTATGACACACAACATTGCGTCCTCGGGGATCTTGTCTAGTCACTTCCTCTGACGGGACGTGCACGTCGGCAGCACCCATACACCTGATACAACTTTACCATGCCAGACTTTGTTCGCTGACGGTAGTCGACGTGCGCCAGGTAAGAAGGTATGTGGTGGCATCCTCCACAAGCGTTACCAACTATCTCTGTTCGGTTCGTCATGTTTGGCGTACGAAGAAGGAGGGTCAACTTTGGCCCAAGGATATAAAAGGAGAGGAGATGGGTCATTTGAAGGGAGGTGGTAATAGCTAGCCGAAATTCGGCCCGATGGATATATAGGAAGAACACAAGGGTAGGAGGTAGGGTGTTACACCTCGCCAGTGGCCTGAACCTGGATACCTTACTTTGTCATGTCACCTGGAGTGTTTTAACCCCTAGCCAAACAATATAGGAGTTGCACCGTAGCTCCGATATCAAAGATCACCCATCGACAATATTTGATGTCACATAGTTTCAGAATTTTTTATTTTTTCCCTATTTTTTTGAATTTACTATTCACGAGGGTGTAGGCCTATAGGGACTCCCGAGAGCTACCACACATTTCTCGCATGGTTATTCTGTGCATGTTATAAGAACTACATTTTCAATGCGAAGTATTGTGCAATATTTTTAAAGTTTTTTTTCAAGTTCTTTCTTCTTGAAGGGCAATATCAATGCTACTTATCCGTTCTTCTTAGAAAAAATTTCAGTTTTTTCCTCTTTAAGGCTAGTACTAATGGCACTATCCATTCCTTCTTAGATATTATTTTTTTGCAAAATTCACTCTTATATGCTTATTTTTGCATATTAAAAAACCCAATTTAAGTGCAAACTGTGAGCAATTTTTGTCACTATTTCTTTTAGTTTTTATTTCCTTTCTTCTTAAATAGTAATTTGACTGCCACTAATTCATTCTTTCTTAGAAAACGTTTTTTATTTTCTTTTTGTGTGTAAGTATAGAGGCAAATACTTACATAATGTGTGCAAATTATGTAGTGCAAAAATTGCACTATTATATGCTTATTCTTCTCATATTACAAAAAGTGCAATTTCAGTGCAAAATTGTGTGCATTTTTTTCACTTGCTTTTTTCTTAAAGGATAACACTAATGCTACTAATTCGTTCTTTCTTAGATAACTTCATTACTTTGATTTGTTTTACTTTCTATTTCATATTCTTTGTTCATTAAGGGTAATACCAATGCCACTAATGCATTCCCTTCTATAACACCTTTTTTTTGCATTTTTACTATTATACGCTTATTCTTGTATATTATAAAAAGTGCAGCTTTTAAGTGAATTGTGCGCCTATTCTGTCGTTATTTTTTTATTTCTTTCTTCTTAAAGGGTAATACTAATGCCACTACTTCATTCTTCTTTAGAAAACTTCACTCCTTTCATTTTATTTATCTTTATTTTGTTCATTTATACTTTAAGATGACACCACCATGGGTTAACGGATTGTTGTTTTGCCTCGGCCCAACTACTATTGTGGGCTTATGTTGGTTATGTTTGCAAAAGTTTGAGTTCTACATCACAAAATTGGCAAAAACATGTTTTGTGTGAGTTGATTTGGTAACCAACTATATATTAGAAATTGACTAACCAAATCATAAAACTAAACAACTCCCTTGTTGTCGGCCTCAGACAAAAATAGCCGTAAATCTGATATTGAGGCATCTAACTGAGTCATGCCCAAGACGTCGTCCGCACAAGCTTAGCCAATAGCACGGACTCTTGGAGGCGCAAACGCCCCTGACGTGGGTCAGGGCCGGTGGCGGTGCAGGCGTCGCATGCTAATCTTTTCCGGCTCAAAGCTAAAATTAGAGAAGTCATACAATTTTCTTTCAGATCTTTCAGAAGGATTTTTTTCTCCATAATTGTTTTTGAAGGCCATCACCATAGAAGCGGGGAAGTACTCAATCACAACCTTGGATTTCATGAATGGTATTTTTTAAATAAGAAAAGAATAGTCATTTTCATTAATTAAAAACAATAAAATTTCCTTGATAATTTGCGAATGACGTATTTATCAACAAACCGGATGCAATTATTGCAAACGCGGCCGAATTCATATAAACACGACGTATTTCATACAAACGAAACGAAAATGTTTACATTTTGGACATATTTTAACAAACAAGGTAAAACTATGTGCACATACGGTCATGCGGAGCTCCACTTCCACGACACGGATACACTACACTAATCTACGGCCGGTCGCGGCGGGTCCCTTTATCTTTCCCATGTCCGGCAGCCCGCTCGGACTGCCGGGAGCCCTGGAGTTATATACTTCAGCGCAAAGGGCGGCTCGCTTTCCCACCGCTCATCAGAGTGGAACCACCGGCTGATGCTTCAGCTGGAGGGGAAGGGGGGCGCCTCTGCTTACGTGGAGCCCAGATGGGGGCGACGATGGTCCGAGATAAAGAACCGGAGAAGACACCGGCTGTGTACGTCGGCGTCGCCTCGCGGTG